AAGGAGGGGGCTTTGTAGAAAACGAAGCGTTTGAGAGAGGCGGGGCATATAGGACCTACAATAATGTACAGTATTTGAAAAATAATGTGTTTTTTGAACATTAAAGCATGTCAACATATTCTGTTACACCAAATACACAAAATAATGATCTTTAATAAAGCATCATATGACCCCTTTAATGCATGCGCATTGATTACAATGCTGACTACACTTTACAGTATATACCCTTTACTTATAAAGAGACAACATTAATGTTTTTCTTGAGTTTAACCCTCAAGTTATTCCTTACTTGGGTCACACAACTCCTTGGCCGGACACCTTAAGTGTAACTTTGTATCAGTTGAATAACTGTACTGTATTTTAGATCAATAATACTTATTTAATATTTTGGGGATTTTTTTGGTATGATATAATATTTGTGCAATAATTATGACCATTTAAAATAATATTTTTTTCTAATATGTTTATTATATTTCAATTAGTGTAGTATTTATGGTTAAAATAGAGGAAAAGTTTTTAAATTCCAATGCAAAGTGGAAAATTTGAGGCATCCGGTGGCCGGAAAAATAATATTCATACAGTATGTGCATTTACATTTACATTTAGCGTAAGTGACACTTTTATCCAAAGTCACTTACAAATGAGAACAATGGAAGCAATCAAAATCAACAAAAGAGCAATGATACGCTAGTGCTATAACAAGTCTCAGTTAGCTTAACGCAGTACACGTAGTAAGTTTTTTTTTTTTATTATATAATAAATAAAACGAAAGCAAATAGAATACAAAAAGATTAGAGAAGCAAGTGTTAGTTTTTTTTTAAAGAAAACAAGCAGTTAGTAAATGAATAGGCTGCTAGAAGTCTAAAAGGGGCAAGTTTTTATTATTTTTTTTATAAAAAATAGAATTAGAATAGAGAGTGCTAGAGTTAGAGGGTCAAAAAAAGATGGAAGAGATGTGTTTTTAGTTGATTCTTGAAGATGGCTAAGGACTCATCTGCTCGGACTGAGTTGGGCAGGTCATTCCACCAGGAGGGAAGAGTGCCTCTTTGGGATGGCACAATAAAGCGACGTTCACTTGCAGAACGCAAGCTTCTAGAGTAATGTAATGCCATGGTTTAGCCACTAGATGCCTAGTAGCTCAAAAGAGAATTGCCAGTCATAACTGCTTTTTTCCCCCTCAGATTTTGCATTTGAATCAAACTCAAACACTAGATTTTTATAAGTTTAGATTTTGTAAAATATTAAATTTAATATTAATTACTCACATCCTAATGTTATTTTATGATATTCACACAAGCATATACAACAAGTGAATATTAAAGGGATTTACATTTTTCCTTTCTCTTTGAAGTGTTACAAGCTCTTGGTGCATAAAGAAGATCTGTAAAGTTGCAAAGACTAAAGTGTCAAATCCAAAGAGCTATTCTTTATAAAAGTTAAGAGTCAACTACGCCTACCTAAAACGGCTCGTTCTAACACGCCCCCACGTCTACGTCACGATGTGGGAAGATCTGCATAACGCCGCCCAAATGTTCATGCAAAGAAAGAAGGCGTAACTTTTATTCTCGCTGTAGTATTGTTGTTGCCGTTGCCATGTTGTGAAGACGCTGTGTGTTTCTTTGTGAAAGCGAAACTACTTTGTTTGGTCTTCCAAAAGAGAACGATATCCGCTTCGTCATTCCTAGAGCTGATCCGTGCTGGTCACTGAGGAAATACATCAACTTCGCGCTGTGGATCGCAACCGCATAAACATTTCATTACACCAAATACACAAAATAATGTTCTTTTTAGCAGCATCATATGACCCCTTTAATGATCGCAAACTGACAAGTTTAAAATAGTGTTTAAAAGACACACACACACACACACACACACACACACACAAGGCAACCAATAGCATTCAGTGAAACTCCACTATATTACTACTGGATAGATTCCTGAGAGGGCAACTAATGCATTAAAATGTAAAGAAAAATGCAGTAATTTCATCAACTTACCAACAAGTTTATTTAAGAAACACTAAAATGATTGGGGTTCAATCCTAGAACTATTGGTTGTTTGGAAATATTAGAGGACCCCCTCATAATTACACACACTTAATACAATACAATTTAATAATAATTTATGCATTTAGCAGACGCTTTTATCCAAAGCGACTTACAGTGCATTCAGGCTATATACTTTTTACCAGTATGCGTGTTCCCTGGGAATTGAACCCATGATCTTTCGCGCTGCTAACGCAATGCTCTACCACTGAACCACAGGAACACTATACACAATATATGTAATAATAACATAACAACAACAATATAACTAACACAATATGTACTCTCGTAGATGCCATTGGATGTCCATTTAAATTTTATATATATATATATATATTATAAATTCTTTTTTTTTGTGATTTAACACACTTTTATTATAAAAACAAAAGTGGTAATCAAATGAAAATTTATCACAAAACTCTTTTCAAAGACTGTTTCATTTCAAGACATTTCAATGATAATCAGCATCGTAAATCCTGTTTGTACAAGTTTTTTAAATTTTCATTGAAAATATACTATACTTTATATTATATTACCTTTGCATGAAATTACAAATAGTTAACGCTTCTGTGAGGGTGTTTCTAATACAACAGCAGTGGGAGTGACTGTAAATTTGACATTGTTCTCATATCAATCTCTCTCTGATTTCCTCTTTTTGAAAGCCGTGAGTTTTTCTTTTGCTATTTGAGCAAATGGGAATGCAAAAAAACATATTGCACGTAGTCTCCTGTTCACCTCCATAGAAGATATCCGATTACTTCTGCTTCAGAACTTCAGCAGAAATGAGAAAAATGTCCATTACTTTACTTTTTGGCAAACAAAGTGCTACATGACAGAGGTTTACTGTTGAATTAAAACACAGAAGAAAAACTGTGCAATTATTTCTTATTTTATTATTTTTTATTCATTCTTATTATTAATATTTTGAGAAGCACATTCTACTGTACTATAGTAATATATATCTCTTATGTTAAAACCAAACCTTTATTTTGACAGGATGTCACGAAGACTTTTGAGCTTCTTTGTGATATAGTTGTTTTATCAAATGAAATGAAGTAACTCTTAAAGCAGCTCTAAAAACGAAGTTCATGCCCTTATATAGTGAAACAGCAAATGCTAAAAACACCATGAATGTCACATATACTTCAGTATGTGTAGTAGAGAAACCGTGCCATTCATTCACACAGAGAAATTCAGACTTCAATGGCAGTCTTTTTGTGCTTTAATATTCACTGACACTAAACTATGGACTAATCTATAATTTATTTAATTATATCTAATCTATTTGAAAACTCCTGCTCTAAAATGCTCAAAAGCACTTTAATGAATTACTTAATTACGTCTGCATTCTACTTATGACTTGACAACTTTCAGCACACCTACATGCAGCAATTTATACATGTCAGTTTTTTTCTTTTCTTTTCTACTTTTAAGGGCTGTAAGGCTGACTAAATTAAAGAGAACAGAATGATGTGCTTATAATGACAAGATGGAATAAAGCTAGTTATATTTAATGTAGGGATGTGCGGGTCTAGTCGACTAGTCGTACAGCTCCTACTAGTCGACACTGAAAACAATAGTCGATTACACGACAGAAAAACAAACCAAAAAAAAAACATGATTTTATCATTCAAATTACCATCATTTTAACTTTGCATTTAAAACATTTTAAATAACAAGTTAAAATAAAACGTTTGAAAAATAATACATTATTTTTAAAAGTTTATCTGGGCGGAAAC